TCCCCCCATCTTCTCGATTTCACATTCACATTTTCTCCAATGATTTTCAAACCTCCAAGATCATGATAATGAGACTAAAAAAAAAATTTATTATTCCATTTTTTCTGCGTGTGAATTACAATTCGAGTCGTTAATCTAGGGAATTAATTTCTAATTGAAATTGTTATGGGGAAAAAGACTTTTTTACAAATTATCGTTAAACCAGAAAATATGGGGATTACCTCCGGTGTGAAATGCCTCTCTTTTTCGGGTCATAAAATACAACGCAATTAAAACTCATACATTTCTCTGACTTCACACGTGCGTAGCCGACGTTTAACGTAACGACTACTCGAGTATGAGCCCCCCCCCAAAAAAAAAAATAATTGAAAGCATAAATAATAAATTAATCAACTGTCAAAATCAATGTTTCAATTTTTGCTAGATGAAGTCGATCCCTGATTGCTGATACCATAATTATCTCGTCCAGTGATTGCAGATAAAATCGTTGAGACAATTGCGTGATGAATGAGGAATAAAAAAAAATGGCAAGGCAATATGTTCCTCTCGTCAAGCAAGAGATGCGTGATCGTGAGGCGTGAAAAGATTTGTAGCTGTCTGAGCATTTGGATCGAAGGACGAAGTCACTTTGTCTTCGGAGATAATTTTGTACCTCTTTTTTCCTTTTTTTTTATTTTCACATTGAAACCCCCGAAGAACCAAATGACTCTTAACATGAAAGGTGGGAATAGGGAGCGGTGCACGTGTTTGAAAATCACAGAAATAATTTGTCACCATCAGGATTAACGTCTGAGTAACTCTGGTTTAAAGTGCATCAATTACAACCTCGAAATGTCAAATTGACCTGAACTTTGTTGGAGAATTCAACTCTGCACGCCTCTATTATTATTCTTATCTCCATTAGGAATAATTAGGAAATTGATGAGTCGTTCAGGTTCTATTTCTATCGGGGGAATTTAATTACTTACTGAAGTACCGAATTCCCTCGTTTTGATGCTTGCTCGAATTGAAATTTTATTCGAATTTCTGGTATTCTATTTTTGATCGATATTGGGGATTTTATCTGTTAATTTATCGGGTTTCACTCATCAGGATTCAGGAAGATATTCAGCTTTCACTTGAAAAATGTTTGTAATACAGATTGGGTATTAATCAATTTTTAATTAATGGAGTTTGTTATTTAATTCGGACGAGCGAGCGTTTGTGGAAAAAATTTTGTGGAAAAAATTTTTTGGAGAGGGAGATTTGCCAGAATTCGGGAATTTCGGGGAATTAGTATTCGGTATTCAAGAAAGCGCGCCTTAAAGTACCAATACCTCGAAAAATTTCGTTTGTAAACGGTTGAGCGCCGTTTTACGATACAAACTCACAACCGTTTATTCCCTCGTTGCCGACTGAAGGATTTTTTTTTTTATTCGATTTCTCGAAATGTGGGAGGAGCACCCGCGACACTCGACTTTTGCTCAAAGTGTTGGAATGTTTTTACGACGTGTTGAGACAGCCTGAAACGAACGTTAATTTCTTGGCGAGTTTTCACACTTTTCGCTGGAATTTCTGGAACATTAATTCGAGTTTAATTGTCGTCTTCAGGATTTTCGCCCGTTGGGCATTTATTTTCACCGGAATTCACCATCGGCGAGACTTCCGCTGGAAAATCATTATTTTTCATCTTTCAAAAATTTTTTCGACATTCACAAAAAATTATTTTACCACTCCCTGTGATGAAATATTTTTAAATTATTAAAAAATGGAAAGAGAATATGAAAATTGAGTTATTTTTTTATCCATTGAATACTCACTCGTTTATATTTAGCAAATGTTCAATTAACCAGAGGTAATTTTCTTTGAGACCCGCGTACGTCGACGGACGTGTATGTGACACTTACTTGAGTCAAACCTGATCATAAGTGTCGGACAACTAACGAGCGTCAAAATAACGACGTCTGCAGCTCCACCCGAATTAACTCGTTCTCGTTAGTTTAATCACCGAGAAGAAACTCATTAAATCCTGAAACCTAAGTTAGCAGAATCGGCAATTAGCTCGAGTCAATCACACGTGCAACATATTTAACCGCGAAGGAATGATAGCGATTTGAATTAAATATATATAATTTTTATTTCAATTTATCATTTATTACAATAAAAATAATTTCATTACATCAAAAAATTTATTAATTACTTCCAACACTTCCAACACTTGTTAAATAATTATATTAATATAATTATCCTATTAATTTTGATGATTCGCTGGAAAAAATGTGAATTTTTTTCAATTACTCCTAATTTTCAAGTGAAAAAGGAATTTTTTTATTTGAATAATTATGAAATAAATAAATTTAGTCGAGTAGTTAATTTTTTTAGGGGATTAATTCGGGATGGAATGTCAAAGAAAATAGCGGTCGAGAGTAGCGTGACACCCCAGCGGAAATATGAATACCATTTGTGCCTAATTGCGGCCCAACGAGCATCGACAATTGCAAATGTGTACCTCCCACCCACAACCCACCCCCCGGAAAAGCCGAGCGGGCTTTCGCGAATGCCGTGAGGACCAACATGGCGGCAACCCAGCGACTTTTCACTGAATTGTACTCGTGTTTGTACAGGACAAGAGGAGCATAACAACGGGGTCATTGGTGCATCGCCAGCCAATCAGCCGACGCCATTTTCCTCGGGGGGAATGCCCCGCCCACGGTCGGTCACGGGGAAGGGGTGGGACAGCGGTGGGTTATCCTCGACTCCAGAGTCCGTCAGTCGCTCGTCATCGGGCCAACAATACGTACCTCCAATTACCGTACATCCGCCCCAGTAAATCAGTCCTTTGAAAATTTGAATTCTCCCGGGAAAATTACGCGCGAATTCAAAATTTTTTGCGCGGTGTGACGAGTGGAAATTTCAGTGATTTTTTGAAAAAGTGGAGTTTGAGAAATGGGAATTTGATTTTTGGAAATTTCGGGTTTGGGGTGGATTTTTTTTCTTTCCCCCATTCTTGTTTTTTTTTTTTTTTTGAGTTAAGGGGATGGAGTCGCCTCCGGTGGAGGTGAGCGAGTTGGATGTTGGATCGGCGAGTGATGAGGTCGAGTCCATGGAGACCTCAGTGAGACCTTCACCCAAACCTTTTACTATTGAGAGTTTGATTGGGAATAGGGGACACGTTGTTGGGGGGGAGAGGCGAGATTATCGGTGTGATAAGAATGGGGAGGGAAAGGGGAGTGAGAGGGAGAGGGAGTTTTTGTATCAGCAGCATTGTTTTGCGACGGCTACCAGTGCACTCCCCGGTAAGTCAATAAATTCAAGACAAATATATTCCTTGTAAAAAAATATCTGTTGAAAATAACTCCAGAATTAATTATTTTCATTTTATTTATTTAATATGAAAGTCCCCGATTTTTCATTCACAATTGCATGCTGGAAAATTTATTTACATGAAATATCGTCGGGCATGAATTTCGGGATATTGTTTTAATTTTCAGAATAAAAATTGAGCAGAGATTTATTTGGAATTGATGTCAGCAAAGCATAAATCGATATTTTCAATTACTCAGTGATTAGTATTTTCATTAATGGATGGAATAAGAAGTAATGAATTGGGTTATCTAATAGTGGTAATTATTTTGTGGGTCAAAGTAATTTAGAGATGATGAATATCAATTATTTATCGATTAAGGAATGAAATAAAAAAGTTACGGGTACTGGTAATTGTTTTATGGTAATTACTCCATGGTGCCAGACAAAAACAAGTCATTTGTTTCAAATCACCTTGAATTTACGCCTCGAAAAATATTTTTAAACATAAAAAAGATTTTTAAACATAAAAAATATTTTCAATAATTATACGTTTTCATTCCCGAGTTATCACTGAATATCTCATAATCGCTGAAAGCTAGTGATATTTCCATAATGACCTTTTTTCTAGCTCTTATTTTTTTCTATAAAAAAGATATTCACCAAAAAATGGCTGTCTCCCTCGGATTCCCAGATATTATAAAAAAAAAACTGATATCGAAGAAAATGCAATTTATTTCGGTGCGGATTAAAATATTCTGGATTGTCTCGTACTGAAATTAATTGTTGGAATAATTTGTTCTAGGATTTGCGATGCCACTTAGTTTGTACAGTGCCTGGTTACCAATGCGAATGTACGGTGGTGGTGTACCTGGTGGGCCTATTCTGCCACCTCATCTGTCAGCAAGTTATCCTGCCCATCAGAGCCATCAGGCCCAATTACCCCATCACCTCAATCTCAGTTTGAATCATCTCCAGGGAGCTGCATTCCCTGGACATCGAGATGCTCAGGCCAATGGACTGACTGACAGCGAGGACGAAGGAAGTCTATCACCCGTTCAAGATCTTTCAAAATCACAACATGGTCAGGAATTTTCCACATCTTTACCCCTCAAAAATAATTATAATTATTCATCCTTCCCAATCATGACCCCAACAATGATTAATAAATATTCTTCGATAATTATTATAATTTATTTCATAATTTTGGAATTAATATTCTTAAATAATTTCTCCAGATTTATTTTTTATCGATTCTATCTCAGTCATGTAAAAATATTTAATATCATTTGGGGAATAATTCCGGAAATAATTCAGAATAGGAAATGTAAATGAAATACTTCCGCTTCAAATCATCTAGTGGTCTATAAAAAATAGAAGTTATCCCTCCAGTGAAAAAATCCCAAGTACTAATTACTCGAGTTTCTCGTTAATTAAAATTCGATTAGTTGGTGGAAAGCAACATCTTTATATTTATCACACGATATACGCTTCCCTTATTCCCCCAATTTACCTATCGCAATACTCTATCTATAAACTGAGTTTCGATTATCCGTCAACACCGTATTCCGGGTATAATTGACCGTTGAATCATGAGCCGACGGTTCAAGAAGATCCGTTGACACATTTCGGAATATTTTGACGGGAAGTCCCACAGATTTCACCGGAAATAGATTTTATTTTCGAGTTCAAATCGCCGGAAACGAGTTCCAGTTAAAGTTATTTGATAAATAAAATTTACTGTTACTTTAAATAAATGTTAGTGAATTAACTGAAGATCAGATGATGGAATTTCATAATTTCCATTGACAATAAAAATAATTAATTCATACATTTTAATTTTCCCTCTTTCCCCTACTCCCATAAAAATCGCAGTAGAAATTTCGATTTTTCCCTTTTTAAATGCAATAATTGATCGATGGGAATAATTATTCGTTGCTGCGGGTGTTGGAATTATTGATAAATAAACAAATATCTGTTGGAATGACAGAACGGTAAATAGTTTAGCGTGTGATATACCTGGGATCACGTATATCGCGACTTAACGACAGCTGGTGAATGGTCGATCGTCATCGATCGGTTTATTGATGTCTGGCCGATGACCACTTCGTATGCACAACGAATTCCCAATTTTCTGCGAATTCCCCATTCACTCGTGACGTCACACGTACGGTAATGCCGTTTCTCTGGAAAATGAGTCAGTGAATCCCGCGATTTGTTTGAAAAAAATTGAATTAATTAAAAAACGAATAATCGGGGAAATAATTTAATGAAAATTATTCGAAATATCTGAATTTTTCCCGTCATTCGGTTTTATAAAAAAAAAAAATGGAATGAAAGGAGAAAATTCGGGGATTTTTGCCGCTTGTTTTTTAAAATCTTATGGGGACTTCCGGTTGACGAGAGGAGAATGAATGAACCGGCGAAATTAAGATCCACTTGACTTCGTTGAGAGACGAATTTATCCCGGAATGAGAATGTGTGTCATTTACCCCCGGAGAATAATCGATCTTTCACTGATGGATATTTGAAGCCGACGGCGTCTTAATTATTCACGTCTCATTATTAAACGATTACTAATTAGTAACATGGACACTTGACGATTAATTTATTGTAATTTAGTTTTATGGGTTGATCCGATGGAATTCGCACGAGTCGTCAAAAGTTTTTATCAAAAATTCCTCCTCCCTCGATTCACCATCTGTCGGGGGCTATTTTTTTTTCCACAATTTCGGGTGTTTTATTCATTGGTCAGACACCCCACAATCCCAAACACGACATGGGAGGATCGAAACTTCCCTCAAAGTGCGGAACATCTAAAAAGCCAAATTGATTTTTAAAAAAAGGGATACACAAAAATTCATCGCTAATTGACCTCGAGATTAATTTCAGGGATTAATTAAAATAAAATGTAATGTAATTAAATTTCCACGAAAACCAATTATTCCAATTATAATGAATAGATCTTCTCTTTATTATAAATTAAAATGAATGATTTATTGAAATTGAGTGATTGGGTAATTTGTTAGAATTGAAATTAATTGTTTTTATGGGAGTGAACTATTTCGATTGAGAATAATTATCAATAATTTCTGGACAGTGAACTCGTCTATTTTCAAGTACTTTAATTAATGAAAACGCAAATGAGGTAAATCGGGTCACCAGTGATTTCCAACATTTTCTGAAATCTCATTACGAGAATCAGATGTTCCAGTGACGGATGAGTCCTTGGTTCAGGATGATGTAATTCATTTAATCACTGAGAGACGAGTCTAATTCAATGTAATCGAGTTAATTAGACACGCCGATAGATGCGAGAAATAATGAATTCGAGGGCTCGAGATACTTCATCTCCAGGTGAAACTATTGAATCCGAAAATTTTCGTGAAACGACGGCTTCCGGTGGATGATGGGCGATTAAATCTTGATCGCAGAATTATAATTACGGAAAAATGTAATTAACATTCTCAACTCACAGTTAAGATCTTCCAGGCTGAATTTTTATTGTCAATTCTGTTTTATTTGTTGATTGTAGAATTTTAATTATTTATTTTATTTTATGATTTTTTATAAACATTTGCGTATTTATTGGTGTACGGTCGCGGGTGGATTAAATTTTCTTTGAATTTTTTCCGGAGTTGTGGATAATCGGAAAACTTTGTTGTAAACAATTAATTGGAGTTGATTAATCCTGTTAAGAAGTTTGAGGGATAGTTTGAAGGCACGTATTTTATGAGAGGAAAATAGCGCGTGGTTGGCATGAATTTCTATGAGTAAAGACGGTGCACTACAAATTCATTGATTTTTAACGAAAAATATGGCAGTGTAAAGACGCCATTGTATGACCACCATAGGCTTGAGTTCAGAGTACCACGCGGAAGTGACCGGACGAATCGAAGAGATTTGAATAAATAAAGAGAGCATAATATGAGTGGTAGACTAAACGCGTGGCTGATTTACTCGTGTTATCACCCTTGTTTTCCCGTAAGCGAGAAAATCCGATTTTCCATTTTCCATTTCCCATTTTCCAATTTCCATTTTCCATTTTCCATTTTCTAGTTTTTTTACCGATCATGACACACATTCGAGATTCCTATGGATAAATGGGGACGGGTAAAAAATGATTAAAAAATAATCAAGTATACTTTACTTTTTTTTTTGCGAGATTCATGAAGGGAAAATTCAGGGAAATCCGGAGGTTTTCGTGGAGAAAAAAAATTTCCGTCGAGAAAAAAATTTTCCGGGTAAAAAAAATTGTAATCGGAATATTTTTAAGAAATTTTCAGAAAATTTCTGGGAAACTTTTCAGAAAACAAAATTATTTTATTTTATCGGTACATATAAAGGTTTTGAAAAATTTTTCAAAAATTTGAATAGGATTTTTTTTTTGTAATTTCGATGGCGTTTTTTTTTAGAATATTCATAAAAACCTTTCCCAAAAATAAAATTATTTTGTTTTCCATTTTTTTTTGTTTCAAAAAAATATTCCAATTACAATTTTTTTTTACCCGGGAATTCAGGAAAATTATGATACCAATAGCTTTCTCGGGAATGCTTTATATCCAATATCGCGAGGTTGAAAAAAGGGTTGCGAACCCGAGGTGACGCGGCTCTCAAATATTTTATGATGCGATCGTATGTTCTGGTGTAGTCGTTGTTTTTCGCGTCCTTTGTCTTTATGTGTCAAAGCATTTAAAAGTTCAGTTGGCACACGACAGGAATTTTCAATTGAAGGTTTCACCTAATGAGTTCATTGCATCGTACAACGAGGTAATTGCACCGATAAAAAAATATAACAGGATTTCGACATCTCCCGAACGCACCTCAATCCCAAATTTCTCTCCAGGAATTCGTTCCTTTAATAATTATTTTATCCAGAACGTACATTCCATGATTTCCAAAGTTCCAAGCCCCTGAAATAATTCAGGATCCCCGAATGTTCCAGGTTCCGAGAGCGGTCGAATATCCCCGGAATCGGAGGAGGAAGGTGTGACAGTGGACCCAGGTCTATCCCAGAACTCCTCGGTTTCTCCAGCCTCCGGGAACGCGAGCAAAGGCCGTCGAAGAAGAACGGCATTCACGTCAGAGCAACTCCTAGAGCTCGAACGTGAATTCCACGCCAAGAAGTACCTCTCCCTGACAGAACGCTCCCACATAGCACACGCCCTGAAGCTCTCCGAGGTCCAGGTGAAAATTTGGTTTCAGAATCGCAGGGCTAAATGGAAGAGAGTCAAAGCGGGTTTGACAACGGGTGGAGCGGGTTCAGCAGGTCGACACGCAGTTCCTGGACAGCAGGGAAATTCAGGACCTAGAATTGTCGTGCCAATTCCTGTTCATGTCAGCAGACTGGCAGTCAGGTCACACCATCATCATCTCGAGAAGTGCCCGACGGGAAACTCCGGGAGACCAACTGACTCACTGACATCTGGACTTTCAGGAAGACTTTCTTCATCACTCGTTGGTGTGTCACATAGTCTTGGATCTGGTGGAGGACTCAGGGCTTTTACTGCACCTAGTTCCTCGAGGAGGTAGCTGACTGTCTAATTGTCATCCTGGTCTTCACCTGGTGATCATTAAATTATTCAATTAATTACAACAAGATGAAAATTTCAATGGAACTCTCTAAAGTCACTTGGGTGTTTCTTCATCACTTGATTATTACTCGGAGTTTGGATTTTTTTTTTCAATGGCGTTACAGAATTTTTTCACAGAATTCATCCCTGTGTGGAGATGGGAATTAGTTCGAGGAGTGATGACGAACAAAGCATTGAATATTTAATGTATTCAGCAACGGATGGGCGCACCCACAAATCCAACCTTGTGGTTGTCATCTCGAGTTAATCCGATTTTCATGTGATTTTCGAAGAGTTTGAATGAAATTAATGAAGGATACATTCGTCCTGATGTTTTATTAATAAGTTCTCCTGAAGATATCGCTTGACCGTTACTCAATAAAATGTGGCGATGGAATCGATACCTGTGGATTATGTCAAGTGAAATATTATCGTAACGTACGAAGATGAAGACTGTACATAGAGGGGATCGTAGATTAACCGATGGAAAGATTTATTTGTGATCTCAAGAGCTTTTCGAACTTGATCGACTGGGAAAGATCGCCCTAGTGCTTTTCTTTTTCTATTAACAAATCCATAGAAAAGTCGTTCTTAATTGAGGGGATGGAGTGGTGAAAGAAATCTTCAGAATTGAATTTTTTTTCGATTCCTTTTGTTGTTGATTTTTTAGTTGATTTTTTAATAAATTTAGGGGCGAGATAAAGGGAACGGACTCATTGAAATTCGATAATTTTTACTGAATTATTTTCACAGTAAAATTTCTGGATTTTTTACTCGATGAAAATTTCATATTCGAGATTCAATCATTTGTGGCTCTTGGATTATCTCGATATTCCGATAATCGATTGTGGTGAGAGACATTTCGAGGGATATTTTCAAAACTTTAATTATTTTAATAATTTGGTATTCAACGCGCGATCGATAAAATCACTTGGGGGTTTAAATAATTTTTACCCGTGATGAACAATTTCGTATTGATAAATCGATCCTTGGAGGAGTCTTAAGCTGCCTCATTACCACTTCACCCCGGGTCTACAATTTTTTCTACTCCAGCAATACTCATCATTGTAAGAATAATTATTTATTTCCCCCTAAAACTGTAGATAGCCTCGTGTATAGCAAACCCCATAAACTAAATTATCTAGATCAATAAACATAAGCTGTAAGAAACGTTATGTATTCGAATTTAATATATAGTTGAGAAAATTCTCAAAAACAATTTGAGAATAAACGAATTATACGTTATGTACAAAGACGCAATAAACTCGTGTTAATAAAATGAAAAACCTGTGCCCCAGATTAATTGATCTCCACTATTTTTTTTTAATGTAAATTTTTAATGACACCAGTTGAAAATGATTATGAAAATCGATAAATACCGATTTATCTCAACAAGTATTGTGACAGTTTTGACAATTGGATGTTGACAATTGATGGTTCTAGGTCTTTTCATGGGTTCTTGTTCGTGACGTGCTCCCAGGGGCACTGAAGGTGTCTAAACCCCTGAATAGACTGAAAAGGGCAGAATGAAAAAAAAAATAAAAAGGCAGGGGGTGTGATGTCAGACTCGATGCTCACCCTTGGATCGGTAATGCATACCTACCGCCTTGAAATAAGGGAAAATGAGGAACTGTGACATAAGGCCTCTGCAACTCGTGGGCGTGACTCCATATGGCTCTTTTGCGTTTTGTCCTGACTGTTTTTTTTTTTTTCATGGGTAATGCCTAATTCCTTTTATTTATCGCGCGGTTATTGGGCGGAGGTTCTGCGCAAATTTTTTTCTCTTGCGTTTTGCATTGTTGGGGCACGTGCCAGGTGCTTGATATATTTTTTAAAGCGGATACTGGCTTCCGCAGTTGAAGAAAAATACTGCAACAAAGATTATCCACAGCGCAAGATAATTTCTCTAAAAAATTCTCAAAAAAATTCTCAAAAAATTTTCAAAAATTTCAAGTGAATTTATTCTCATTTTTATTTCACGTGGAAATGAGAGAAAAAATTGATAATTTTTATTGAATATTTCGGTGCAGACAAACCGCCTGGGATTTTTATTTAGTCGTCGACAGGGCGTGGCTGGAGTAGAAGATGATTTATCTCTGTATCACACGGTTAACTGCCAGATTAAACGACCACGGGTTTCCTTTCGGTATCAACTATTGTGTCTCCACTAAAACTACCCTCTCAGCCCCAACTGAGTAAAAGGGAGAAATAAATATGGCGAAAATACGTGTATTGTCCCCCCATAACGTTTTGATACATAACTAGAATAGTTATGCACTTTCGTACAGTGGCATATAACTCCTGGTCATTAACCCTCGAAATGATCGATGGCCATTATAATATAGACACATTTTCTCTCTCTTCTTATTGTTCACCCCCCAGTAAGGGCTGTACAAACCCCCAGTAGATTTAACCGGCCTCGATCTTTCCTCAGCCAGTGGCCAACATCGATTTTGTTTATTAATAATCCAGTGATAACCTGATCGATTTAAACAACCAGTACCACTTACAAAGGGTTGGGGTGGGTTGAATTAATTGAAGGACGAAGCAATTTTCACTCATTAAATATCATTATTCGGTGGAATAATTATTTGTCTTGTTAAATCTGTTGATAGTGGTATTTAATGCGTTGAATTAAGGGAAAGGGAGAAAGTCGTGTTCAATTCAGAAAAAATAAATCTCATTTGCCCGCCCCCTTTTCCCAGGGGACAATTTGCGGGGTTTTAGTGTCCCTGATCAGCTCAGAAATCACCCCCGGAAGTGGCCTATCAACCATTGAACTCTGACCGACGAGTCACGTGATGGTTCTGTATACATCCGGGGGTAATATCGACACAATGACGGGTACAGGGAGGAAAAAATAATCTGGAGGAAGAAATGTCGAGAGGGGATGGCACTTCATGTCGGTGATTCTCTTTTTTCAGGGGAATGCAGGGGAAAAAATTCTATTCATCAATTGAGGAGACGTTTGGGGGCACTCAAAGGAAATCTGGGCACGGGCTTTTTCATCTACAATTTTCACAATTGCTGGCACTACAGCAACTTCTTGGGGATGCGCAGTCTGTGGAAAGTTTTTCAGTTGTCGCGTGCCGTTATTGTGGTCGTAATGGACAAACGACTATTTGTCATTGATGATTTGCGAGCCAACGACAACTCCCACTTTTTTCTCCATTCTTCAGGGCTTTTCGGATTTTCTGGAAAAATACTCGGAAATTCGGAAAATCTGGTGTCAAGTGGTGAAATATACCATAAGTGTATTTTTCTTATGCCAGTTTTCAGCCGATATCTCGGAATCGGGGGGAGATACCGATATTTTTATTGATACCTTTTTTGTGCCTCTCAACATTTTTTATAAAAAATGTATCTACAAAAAAATTCCTGGCTCTCTTGGATTCCAAGATATACGAGAAAAACTGGCTCGAAAAAAATCATTCTTCATTATCGATCTCTTTTTTTCACTTTTAAATAATTACATTAATTTTATTCCATTAAACAATTCTCGACAATCGAAAAAAAAATAACAAATCCTGGAATTCCAAAAAAATATTCCATGTATTTATTTTTTTCACAGATAAATGGATATGAATTGTTGTAAAAAAATGATAGTTTATGAAAAATGGAAATGGTTTCGATTGTCGATAAATAAATTCACTTCCCGAGAAATCCCAGGGAAAATCATAATGAGCATGAAAAAAAAAAAGAGGCAGTTGGTCCCCGTTGGGGGGAGAGTAATTCGTCTCGGACTTTGGAGTATCTGCGCAATTTCACGGCCACTTCGGTTTTGAGATCAGGCAAATAGTCCTGATCCCAGCCCCTGGGGTGAGTGTGGGAAACAGCCAACACTCAGCCAGTGTTCCCCAAAACGGTACCAATAAAATATCTGTGATTTTTCCAACGTCACCCCTCCAAACCCCCAAAAAAACGCAGTGAAATAAAAAAAATAAAGGGGTTGAATTTATCACCCCGACTAGAATAAAGTCCAGAAAATGGTTATAATCGTTAGGCGAATTGCCAGAGTGTTTTCGATCTCGGATCGTGAAAATTGCTGGGGAGAAAAATACGAGAAAAAGGTGCGTCGTCACCACCCACCGCATCCCAACGGTCATTTTGACCTGTCACTTACGAATGACCGATTCACAGGAATACTCCAAGTACACCGCAATTATCCGTAATAAAAATTAAATTAAGAATTAAATCAAAGGATAATTAATGAATTAAATCGAGAAATCAAAACCGATTCTCCAGGAATTGAAGAATGAAAATACTGGATTTTTTAAGTTATAATATTCCTTCTCCAAAACAGCCGACAAAAATTCCGAGAACTCATTAATTACTGAATAATTAAAGCCCCGAGTAACAACGCGACATTTTATCCAATAATTTCTCCATCACGAATAATGTAACGAAAGTGGAATTAAGTTGAAAATTGCGGGAAAAAATTACTCAGCAATAAGACAAGGGTGCAGAAGGGGTGGTGGAGGGTTATGAGAGCGAGGGGGGGGGACAGACAAGAGTGGTTAGGGTGGAAATTTTCCCCCTTCTGCACCTCACGGGTGACTCCGGGGTGTAATTGCTGGAGTGGGCGTGTCAGAGGTTCGTGGCGATGGGCGTGGCTCACTGATTACACCGCGGCGATACTGATATCGCTGGCAAACCGCTTTGTCCTCGTACTCAAGACGTACTCCAAATTTACCCCTCCCTCTCCCCCTTCCCCACAAAAATCCCTATTTCATTGTATATGCTGGTTGCAACCCTCCGGGACACTTTTCCCGAGACGCCTGTGACGTTCCTAATGGAGCCTGTCCCACTAATTTCGTTATATGACCTTTTAGAATTACATTTGTTATTTGTGTTTTTTATGTACAACATTTAGTGAGGATTTATAATAATTTCAGTTGAATTGATTATATGAATTTTTTTAAAAGTGGTAATTAATGCCGGGAATTCAAGAGAAATCTAATTAATCCTCGGAATTTGACGGGGTAATTTAATTTTAATTTGTTGTAATTGAAAATTATTTATTCCCGGGGAAAAATGTAATCGGAATATTTTTTCCAAATTTTCAAAACATTTCTGGAAAACTTTTCGGAAAATTTCTATTTTGAAAAAAAAATCGGGAAATAAAATAATTGTATTTTTGGAAAATCTTTTGAAGTTTTTTTTAATAATTTGGATGGCGTTTTTTTGAGAATATTGAAAAATAAAAAAATTAAGAAAACAGGAGTTCAATTAAAATTAAAATTATATTCACAAAAATTTCTAGAAAATTATAAAAAAAAATTTCCGAAATGATTTTTTGAGAAATATTTCAAAACATATTCCAAAAATAAAATTGTTTTGCTTCCCGATTTTTTTAGTTTCAAAAGAAGAGATTACCGAAAAGTTTTCCCGAAATGTTTTGAAAATTTTCAGAAAATATTCCGATTACAATTTTTTTTTGCCCAGGCCCCTGAAGGTCAATTGAATTGATGATTGTACTGATGGGTGGAGTGGGCTGGGGGCAAAAGCTGAGTCAAGAGATGAAGAGATGAGTCCAGTATTTTTTTTCTTCCATCGAAATCACGAAATGCTCAAAAATTGTCCTGGAAGTCCCCATGGCGATGGGAATTGGACAATTTCTCTCCGTTGAACGAGTGGCACTGGTTTGGCCGACAATAAAAAACAGTCCAGTCAGCGGGGCGTGGACCAATAGCCAGGATATAACCCCAGGGCATATATATACCCCCAATGATGCGCCGACCAAACACTTTATTCTGTACACAGGGAAAAACTTCCAAACTCAGTCATGTTGAATTTTAAATTTTCCAAAGTGTCCACCGGAGACTTTTCCTCCATCCAGAAACTCCAGGAACCCGGAAAGGGTGTGGTTTTCTGTTTAGACAATATCCCCTGACTCTCTCATGCTGTTAAATAAATTTTTCCCTTATTCCACCTTTCCACCCGTTTATTAAACTGAAAATAATAAATTATATAAGATTAATAGATTAATACATCAATAAAATAAATTGACTTAATCGATACGTCAAGAATTCCACGGAAATTTCGTTGTGCGAAATTTTTTATTTTGAGGGCAAGTTTTTTTTTTGAATTGCTAGAATTTTTTAGTGGTGTACCGGACAATTAAAAAGCCAATGGCGTTACGTGTTGAAAAAAAGTAAAGAGACAGTTTCATAACTGAAGACTGGGATCTCCCTGGCAGATGCCTCTTTGGTGTCGCCGACGCTCAAGACGTCGTCTGCATACGTAAAAATTTACAACGCATGCGACGCATCTGTATCTGTCTTTCATTGTGTCGCTGATTTTTTTTATCCCTCCCCCTTATCCCCCTGATTTACCAGTCTATACGAAATTCCAAGGTGATTTCTCCCTGACAAAACAATTGATTTTATCCTACGATTGTACATTTCAATTTAATTCAGAGAATAAAAAATTGGATTGACATTCATCTATTGTACTCATCATTCATGCAACAGACGGAAACTTTTATATTTTCGGAATGCGTTTTTACTGTTCGGAAAATCAATCCGCGAAGAAGAATTTTTTTTATTCTCTTTCTTTACGCAATTCGCATGATGAAGAAATATTCAGTCGATATTTTCATTTTGATTGATCGCGAATTTTTACCTCATATCTCGGAATTGAAGGCAGATAGCAATTTTTTTGTGGGAATGTTTTTTCTAGGGGAGGATGAGAGCTCGAAAAAAGGTATCCATGAAAATATCGATATTCCCCTTCAGTTCGGAGATATTCCCTGGAAATTCAGTAGCGCAGTGGTAAACTGGGATGTGTATTTTTTTTCGAAGCCAATTTTTTTTTGAATATCTTGAAATTGGAGGAAATTAACAATTTTTTTATAGATACCTTTTTTGTAGCTCTCATCCTCGACTATAAAAAATATTCACACGAAAAATTCGCTATGGTCCTTCAATTCGGAGATACTGGCTAAAAACGGAATTGACGGTGAAAAAAAAATCCACTTTGCAACAATTCTTGTTATAATTAAATATAATCAGAGGTTTATCCAGATGATTTCTGCGTTGTCATGGTGTCCCATTAAGCTCCCAGTGAGTTAGAAAATTGATCCCCAAAAAAAAAACTGATAATATTGTAGAGTCATGGTCCTCGCAAATTGTTGATCCGCCCTGGCGATGCTGAATCTCGGATCCCTCAACGAAGCGAATTAATTCATCACAAATTTTCTGTTGGCATTCATCTGACTGTACCCCAGTGATTCTCCAAGGAAACATTAACCATTGACTATTGAATGAATATTGCACTGAGAATTCGGAGATCCGAGGAAGTTGAATGTAAAATTTTTCATAGAATCCATTATGGATGAATTCATTAAATCATCGGATCCGAGTGGTGCACTTCGCCCATTAAATCATCAGGACTTGAAATCACCATTTGACTTCATGAATAATAATATCTATCGAAACATGGAGGATAATTAAAAGCCAATAATCCAAGCTCGAAAATCCCTGACGAAAATTCTCCTCGTTAAGTCACTGTACGGAGAACAATCACCTGTTAATTATTTAAAGATCATTCAGATCGCTTGTTAATCTACTGGTCACTAGCTTCCATTAATTACCGAGTCATTATCCCAGTATCTCCAATGGAAAATTCGCTAACTGCTATTGATTTTTGTATAAATAGAACTTTTAACGGATGATATCATCTGGTATTCTCATGATTCCGGTGATGAATTATTCATTTTAAAATGTCTACTCCATTGAGATTATAATTATTTTTTATATTCACGTAGAAATCGTGTCGATGCCATAAAATAACTTGAATTACTCTCAATAATTGAGAGCAGTAATGCATCCACTGATTTAATTATCCTCCACAACCTCAGTGACGAAAAAAAAATTTTTTCTTCTAATTTCTAAAATGATTAATTAAATAATATACGAGTTATGATCTCCATTTGTTAAATATCTTCCAACAATGACTTGTTCGCAATTTCAGAGCTTTTAACCTCTCCCCATCGAATTAAATTCCCGAGGCATTTCTTTTCATACGACACGAGGGTAGCATTTGGAAAAGGAGAAAGCCAAGGGGGTGGTCTACCATAATTTCTCCTTGCAGCTCGCCCATGCGCCCTTGTACATACACAAATTATCGTATCATTAATAATTCACGTGTGAGTTAAAGTACGCGTAAAACGCCTAGAGTACTAAATTATTTATAACGTGTTCTAGGCCCCGTTCAGAGTTTTGCCTATGGCCATCAATTTTCTCTATGAAAAATTCAATTTTGCACTGGTGTAGGATCAGCCCAGCCGTTTTCACTTTCACTGCCATCCAGATATATTTATTCCGAGTTGATTAATCCCTTTTTGTGGGCACTTTGGAGTTAATATCACCATGAGATTACAATTCAGTCATGAATTATTAAATAAATATCGTGGGAAAGACGAAAAAAATTTTTCATTATTTTTCATTATGATTTTTTAATCATATTTGCACAATCACGTCATTGCAATCGATCGAATGAATTACTGACACGGTTTGATACATTCTATTGATTTGCCGACATTTCGTCCCGATTTTAATTAATAATTGGTAATTATTATTTTTATATCAATCTCAAATGCAGCCGCTTGAACGATTTTCATTAGTAATTCCCCCGGTTCTCGAATTATGAAGGATTGGATGGTTATACTTCATTAATTTTAATAATTCAATCGTAATTAATCGGGTTGAGTCAATCAATCCACTCCATCCAACGAAATCCAATGAGGGCATTTCATTTAGATGGTTTGTCTAAAGGTTTTATGCGTTATAAATGACATTTCTCAGTGGAAGAGAACAGAATCGAAATAATTTAGTGAATCGTCATGGCAAGATGAGATAAATCAATTTCATCATTTTCCCACCGATATTCACTTCAAGATATTCCAGAAACGTGTGCCAATCAATGAATTTCGAACTCATTTTTCACCACGCGAATTCCAAAAATCTTAATGAATATTTAATTAATTGAAATTGAGTTATTACAGTAAAAATAAAATGGAGACAGCAGAACGGAATCGGTGAACCATGAAATTATTCGAATTCTCGTTTATCCCGCGGCATTTAGTTGTCAAAAGTAAATTGACAGTTAAAAATCAATTCAGTGTAAATTCTTGAGTGAATTCACTTCTAATTCAGCTGATGTTGAATAAATGCTGGAGTCTCGCGTTATCGTAGGGTCGGTATCTGAGTCAAAGTAATATGTATGATAATTCAAACATGCCCACACCTTATAATGGTCCGTTGTGTATCAAATAATAAGGGCCTCGCCCCATTCTACAAATTGGATTCACCTCCCGTTCAATCTCACATCTCAACCAACAGTTTAACCTCGGGTAATTGTATTAATAACTCGAAACGAGCTCCCATTCACAAAAGCGCTCAATGAGGTACAACTTGCAGCCAACAATCTTATCATCTCATAATCTCAAATTCAAAAGATCTTCCTCCTCCTCAAGTGTCGAGGATTTGAATAATCGTGTAAGATAATTTATCACGGAGGAAGATTAATGAGTACTACTACCCGATTTAAACCGATTCTACTATTTTTTTTATGAATGGCATTTTTTAAATTCATGCCGAAAGAGTAATGACTTTAATGAATCATTTACGTGAATTTGTCTTTATATATTATAATATATTTCATCGACATTACACTCTTTATTATCAATACATTAAATACATTTGTTCCATCATTACAACTAGAATTTAACAATGAAAAATAAGAATTGCATAAAGCGTGTTGTTTTTTTTTTCGTCACAGTTCGATCGATTGTACATCGATTCACTGATTCGTTTGGAAATGGATCTGGTATCGATATTTTGGGAGGGAATATTCGCGGGTTCAATTCAATTGTATTAGAATGTATCCAATAATTATGACACAATCCTTGAGTTATCAATGTGACTATAAAATAAATTGCAATAAAGCATAACTCCATTACCAATGGCTCGTCGATATTTTTCACCGACACAAGCCAGAGAAAACGTTTGAAAATTAATTTATTATAAGAGGTCAATTAATTTAATCAACGAATGCTCGAGTTTTTAATATTAATTGCAATATTACCGAATAGTCTTGTCCGTTTTTCTGAAACATTTGCGAAATGAGATGATTTAATGCTCAATATTAAATATTTAAAAAATCGAATTGTCATGTTCCATTTATTTTGTCGCTGAAATTGCATCGGGGAAGTACCGAATTAATTGAATTAAGGACAACGAGCCATTGATCGGCTGAAAAACAGAATCTGTTGCCTGGTGACAATAAATTTATAATTACTTAATCTTTTCCGATATTTACGATAACAATAATTTAATTCTTCACACTGACACGTGGGTATAATACTAGTAGGTTAGGACTGGCTAGTGCACGTGAGGGAGTAATTACCGACGTTAATTAGTCTTTTGATATTTGAATATTTAACATAATAATTATATTACCGGGAACTTTAGTCCTTCGTTTTATTGTCGGTGGTTAACGTTTTTCTGTGTAATAGTTTTCGCAGGTGATTGATACTTCGATTGATTGAAATGAGAAAAGAATTATTTAATTACCGATTTTATTTAATTGTTACCTTTCTCGTCAAGGAGGAATTCTTCTCGAATTTTGATTTTTTTTTTTAAAGACCAAAGGAAATTATCGATGATTGAGAAAAAAAACCAAATATTTTTGAATGCTTCCCTATATTATCATATAAAAAATCTATTTTTATTCTAATTGGATAATGGAATAAAATGACTTTAATAATGCATGTACAAAATCGATAATTCCCCTGTCTTTTCTCGAGATTTCTCGCAGGAATGATTTAACCGATTAAAGTAATGGTTCGCTCGTTTAATATTCCTCACTTCATTCAATCCATAGTCCATTCAATCTGCGATACATACTGTAAATAAATAACAACCTTACTAAAAAATTGAATGATGAAGTGAAACGATGAGCAGACTCTTTAACAGAATTCAATAATTAAAATCCACGTGATGTGTGCTCGATTCCAGCGAACTGTCGCCCATAACATTTTATATACATTATCGGGTATTTTTGGTATTTACTTTCAGCATTCAATAGCTTAATTAGAAAACAAACAATAGTGAGTTTATTAATTTACCTTTGCTATCCTGCGTTCAGTCAGCTGACGATGAAATAAATTGAACTATCAACTGGAAAAGATTTTTTTTTTCACGGAGAAAATATTTCCACCGCTTTCTCTTATCACTTGTTAATTAATTAGACATTGAAACGAGTTTCAGATCCGTCAGCCAACATGAGTGTGACAGTGCGATTATTTATCCAAATAAGACGGGCCAGCCGCATTGGATTTAATCTTGCTACGTCGTTTATTGGTGCAGTGCTATATGATTTTACACAGCGTGTCTGGGAATTTCCTAGGCCGAACATTCCACTGCTAGTTTGCTGGAAATAAAAATTACGAGATCGTTGACTCTCCCGACATGCCCGAGATTGAAAAATTTTCAAATAGGATTGATTTTCGCACATTTTGAGAATCTCATTAAATAATGAGAGAATCGATTATTATTCAATAAAATAATTCCTCAAATATCTCCGATGAAATTCACCATTGACGTTATGAATAAAAAATAGTGACGAATTACCTGCCAGAAGCATAATTTATTTTCAGCGCAGGAATAGCTGACTAAGAATTTTCCCTCCGGTGAGAAACCGCAGGCAGTAACTGGCCCTTGATGGGCGACGACAGTCTGACACTTGACAGTACCACGTAACTCGTACAGAGCCAATTGTCCACTTTTACTACCAACCGATATTCTCCTCGTTGCTGAACAATGACTGACCTGAATCCGATGCAATCAATAATCAATAAATAATTCTGTCATTTAACTGGTCTTGGATCATTTCGAACACATGTTAAATATATCGCATTAATTACCTGATTAAATCTGCAAACTGCTGGGAATACCTCGTTTAATGGTTTTGTCTTCAAGTGACCTGGATCCAGACAGTGTAAAATAATGTCCATCACCTAGAATTGAAAAAAAATTTTAAAATCTCAATGTGAGAAAATTTTTCAATTTTTCAATTGACTGTACCATTACTGCAGGTCATGACAGTAATTTTTTGGAAACACCCAAAAAAGGGAAAGAAGAGGGAAAATATTTTTTTATCTCACCTCAACCAACAGATCACTCATTTCGCTCTGCATTTTGTCAATCAGCTGCTCGACGATCCTGAGAATCTCGGGTTTAGCCCTGGCGAGAACACTAGCTCCTAGGTTGACATTGAGAGTCTGAGCATTCTGCTGTAGGGTATTGAATCTGGCGACTTCCCTGGCCATCGTGGTGATGAATGCCGCAGGTCTAGCAGTGGCAATGAGAGTTAAAGCATGCCGGGAGGTCCTGCAAGTGTCAGCAGCTGGAGTCAATGGAAGTCCATATGTCATACTCGGTACGAGCTTGTCAGCATCACAGCACATCTCCAATAGTCCCAACAAGACCTTAGAGACATCGAGATAGGGTTCCCAAACAGTGAATCCCCTTCCAATGAGATCAATGGCAGCTCTTCTGAGTGATGTGTGCAGAGGAAGTTTTGGTGAGGATGGGGCATGTAGAAGATGCATGAGTGCCATGCTTGTCAACCTGGCGAGATTATTATTACCAATGCCAAAGCCCTCCACCACTGAGCTCTTCCTCCTCTGGTCATTATCTCGTTTCTGATTATTAGCAGCGACATCCTGTCCAAACTCAGCTCCAATGACACCGAGAAGTACGACAGCTGTTGTCTGCTTTCTCTTGAGCTCAGCCACACTCGAGGGCTTTCTGGCAACGCAGATCTCCTCTGCCAGCTCCTCCTCCTCGTCCTCTTCCTCCGGATGTGTCTCGACGACTGGAGTAGGACTGCCGGGAGGTGGTGAGTGATTCTGAGGTTGGGGAATTATTGGCTCTTGTGTGCTGTACATGGGTAGATACTGGGACCAATTGTCAACAAGGGCTTTTCTTCCTTTGGGTCCCATTCTCCCGAGTTCTGCCAGGAGAAGAGCTTGTGCTGCCTCTCGAACCTCGAGGCACTGGTGTTGCCATCTCCTCGCCATCATCTCCACCTGCAGACGCTTGAAGGTCTTGGAACCACCCATTGCTGTGACTTTATCAGGAAGGAGGACACAGTGAAGAGTCGCCAGTAGACTCCAACCTTGTTTTATCTGCGCTTGCTGCACTGTGAACATTTCCTCGTTTTCCTCCTCTGCTTTATTCCAATTGACTCCAGCTCGATTACCTGGTCTATGCATCTTTCGATTGCGCTCTTGCTCTGGGACGAATGTCGCGTTGTTCATGGACATGAGGGTATTGGCGAGAGCGACCACTGCCAGGAGGTGATTGCTGGTGAGGGTTGTCGAGAGCTCCCAGTGGGCGCGTGCGGTAAAGGCTTTTGTCAAACGGTCCTGATGGACTAATTCAGCTGGCAGACGTTGTTCTAGTTTTGTGGCTGGTTCACCAGCTGGCTCGAGATGTGTTTGCCAGGTTGGCAGGAGGAGAGACATGTAACCTCCTTTTGATAATACCCCAAAGGACACTGGAACCATAGGTCTCAATAGTCCCAGCTTCCCTTCACAAACCCTGTCAAGATCTGGATCCATGCCCCACGCATGAAGAAGACTCAGTAATACTTGTGCAATCTCCATCGTAATGTTAGGCTCACTAAAAGGCCCATTCCTCTTCAACGGATTCCTCGAGCTTTCGCTGTTGCTCCAGCCCTCACCTGTCAAAGTTCTCTCCCATTAAAAAAAATTTACTAATCTAACCACCGGTACCATAACCACAAAATCTGGTAGTGTACTGACGCGATGAGAGCGTGCAGTGCTAAATTATCTCATTATATAAATAAAATAAAATAATTATAACGGTGAAACTCCATCAAGCAGTACTGCAAGTATTCTAAGACATTGAAAATATTAAAATGCATGAAATAAATGAACAATAGACTAATAAATTCGAAACGAATGATTAGCAATGAGTGTAAATGTGATAACGCCTGGAAAAAAAAATATCAAAACACATTGAAAAATAAATGTCAAACCTTCAGAAGCATTTGAAAAAAATAATGAGTCGAATATTTTTTGAAGGTTCGAGTATTTCGAAATTCAGCGAAAAAATAAATTAGTCGTCTATATTTCGGTGGACGTAATGGAACACGTAAAAGTGTCTGTTGTAATATGAGCGATCGACATTTTTACAAAATAAGCCAAATAAAACATGACACTCCAGTGCAATACATGCGACGATCGAGAGAGGGTGAATGATCTCTCTCGACGGCAGACCTTTACCATCTAGTGTTGACGGTTTCAGGCCAACACTCTCGACCTTTGCCTGCAACTTTGTGTGAACATTCTCAGCACCCTCCTTCATTTTTGCCAAAATACCTGTGGATGGAATTTCGATTTTATGTTCCATAGAAATAATTAAATTTCCACGTACAACAGTAAAACAATAAAAATTCCTGGGGTCAGTCGAGGCAAATCTAGATAATTGTAAAAACTCTCACTCTCCTCACCCTTCACAATTTTCAACGCGAGATTTATCAATAACGACTTTCCCAGAAATAATTAACCCTATCCCACTGCTCATTCTTCTGACCCCACGATCTTCTACAAAAAAAAAACCACAGGAATGATAAATTCTGCCTAGCGCATTGGGATAAACTGAAATTGTAATAAATGCATGACAAATAAAATAAATGAATCCAGTGATTAACGATAAATGATTAATGGGTTGAGAAAAATAATAATAAGGCTGTTAAAAAAAAATAGCATATCCAGGAACGAAAGCTATCCTTTAATGAAAAAAAGCATGAACTGAAAAGTGTCGGCGGGGGGCGGCGCTAATTGAGAAAAAAAAAAAAAGACATGAAGACGAAGAGATCACGATACCGTGTCGATCTTTCTCCTTGAGAATTCTCTCCATATCGCCCGCCTTATCCTTCACACGACCGAAAAAGTCTGCAAAGTTATGAGCAATTATTTAATCGTACGATAAATGTTGCATGATTACCATAATGCAGCAGTTCAATAGAATTTTTTCGTTGCTCAGAATGTTTTCCATAATTTTTTTCATATGCTCACGTATAGCCCCATGTGTTGCAATTCATGCAGGCTTACCTGCAATTTTTTTATGGGCATCAGGACTTGCTGACTGGGTCAATGCAGCAACTTTTTGATATTCAGAGGCAGAAATCAGGCCCTGTGCCTCCAGTGATCCAGGAGACATCGCGCCATACTCGTCACTCAATAATTGTACTGTATAAAAATATTGTGAGCAACAAGTATTTGGATATTGTACTCATTACCTTCTTTGCAATCACAGAATAACATTTTATTTTGGTAAACGATTTTACGAGAAGATGGTTAAAAAAAAATTGGATGTTCCTACCTATTAAAGCTTCAATATCGAAGAACATAATGTGACTCTCCGGATCTTTGGGATTGCTCCTGAATCCCTGGATCATGAGCGGTGCTCCCTTCGACTTGATCTGGTTACCGTGGTCATTCCCGTGGCCTCCGTGGAGCTGCTGGAGCTGATGGAGACCTCGCTGCGTTGCGTGTCGAATCGCTGATAAATTCCGATGCCTCAAGCCCCTGGAAAATTATTGTAAAATAATATCCCAATGACGAGAAAAATGAATAATGAACGCATGAGTTGAATATCAATTATACCTGAAGAAATGAACGGCAGGATTAGCCAAACCGAGCTCACCCCCAGCAGCGGATCCCCCAGAAGCTGCGATGGTATTCTCATCACAAGCATAAAGCACTTCCTCGGCGATAATTCCATGGAGAACCCTGTCCAGGTGTCCAGTCTCCATTTGCCAGACATAGACAGCTCCATCAGAGCAACCGATAATCATGAAATCATCGAGAGGTCTCCACTTGATGGTGACAACGGGGAACAAGTGTCTCGAAGCCAGAACCACACATTTACGTTCAGCCAGAGAGAGAAGAGTCACTGAATGATCTGATGCAACACTGCAGACGCATTTTTGAATTCTCGGGCTGCAGTTGTCCGGGGGTACCATCAGCTGGGTGATTTCACCAGCGTGAACGCAGAATCTGTGAATGAGGGTGCCAGCGTAGAGATCCCAGAGGCAGACAGCAAAATCTACAGAGCCTGACACGAGATGAGCCTTGTCGTAACGTGGAGCTGCACTGTGGGGGTACAATAGACAGTTGACACGACCCGAATGACCCAGGAGAACCTGGTGAGGTGGCCAGTCATCGTACTGCTGGTGATTTCCATGGAGAAGCTGAAGCATAACTGTTTGCGTCGCTGGAACGATTATGATACTACCATCCTCACGTCCAACTACCAATCGACTCTGTTGGGGTAGATAAATACAAGCTGTCAATTTAATTCCATGGCTGTCTCCAGAATCCAGCTGATCCAAAATCCCCACAGGCGGTGGTTTCATATCCTCCCAAGCAGTTTCCAAACTCGTCTTTATCGTCGGCGCCAGTGTCGGTGGATTCAATTTATCATTCTGAGTTATTTGGAGCAGCTGCTGGGATGTCACCTCGGGCACTGACCAGAGGATCACAACACCCTCGCTATCGCCTCGGAGTAAGTACTTGACAGTTTTGTTTTGACGCTGGACAGTCACGAGGCGCATCGCCGGAGGACAAGACAGAGGCTGCGAATAATCAATTGCATTCAAAAATAATTTTATCTATTTTTTTTTTTTTGAGAATTTGTGATTGCATAATTCATTCAGTGATTTTCAAAAATTTGTAAAATTATTTTTAAATCAATTTCGAGAGTCAATAATTATGGAATTATTTGAGATTCACTCTGCGCTGATTTACCTTATCCCCTGGTTGTGTCAGAATGCAATACAACGTTGGCTGATCATTATCGACCGACTGCTGATGGAAATTAGTGCTGTCTGCCACGCTACTACACACCCAAAAAAAAAATTAATAAAATTCCATCCCCTCACATCCCACGTGGTGTACCATTTACGGATATCTTCTACATATCCATAAACAGTTGATCACCATTCGTTGGAATGCACGAACACACAAAAGCTAGCACACTCGCATTTCTTTGTACTAATAAAAAATGAATAACTCAACGAATCGAATCCATTAATGAAAATAAAAATTTCAGCAAAGTACCAAATATTATTCCTCAATCGAATCATAATTTATCGGATAATTCGGATGTTCGTATTGCACAAAAAGCTGCCAGAAAGCAACAACAACGTAAAAATCTGAAGAAATTTCGTGCTGGTGCATAAAAGAATGGATGTAATGCAATTTTTGATGAGATTATTGAAAATATTTAGTTTTCCCAACCGTTTCTAGTGATACACATTTTATGGCATGAGGAAGTGAAAGAGTGATGATAGATACGATAGGACAGGCGCCAGAGGTAGAAGATTATCATATGTATAATGGTAATAATGGGGTTACCTGCTGAGAGCCTTGCCCTTCAGCTTGCTACAATAGACCAGGTCCCCCGGAGATTGTGGTAGTAATGTTAGGTGATAAGAAACATTCACCAAAAAAAAAAACAAATGATGATTTTTGCGTTAAATATCGAGGGAACTGATGATTGAATTAATGATTATATTCATGGTTATTTCAATTGTATCTTCAATGTTGTGGAGATCCACTGAAAAAATTCTAATTATTGCTCAGAAATGAGTAACTATCATCTAAAAACTAGATTTATCGGTTTAGAAAATTTTCTTAATTATCTGATTGAGTGAATGATCAGAGACGAATGAAATGACAACAAAAGAATTAATATGTGCATTGCCAGCAAGTGTTTTCATCGAGCAGCCGCAATTTAATTTGATTAAAATGAGTAAATTAGTTTAATTTGCCATTTTAAAAACCCCAACACCAATGCTAGAATTCTAAATGGATAATTTCATTTTGTCTGGATTATTCTACAAGTTTATTATCAACATATTAATTACCAGCGCGTTAATATTTATTATTGGAATCAGCAAGTTCTCATTTTATTCTAGCGAATATATTTTAGTTAATGAATTCATAATATAATTTCGACGTGCAAAATAATCTACCTTTCGAGCTGTACCAGAGCCCTACAACCAATGGAGAAAAAAAATAAAAATCAGTAATTCAAGGAATTCAACGAGAAAATAAAATAAAAGTCTACTCTGAATTAGTGGAGACATGTCACTCAAAAATTCATGGCAAAGATGGGATTTTTTGTAATTTCATTTGATAGAGATAAATAACATAACATTTATCGGAGATTAATTGAGTTGTAAGACGAATTATGTGGGAAATTTAGGAAACAAGAATTGATTTACGAACTTTGAGGGTAATTTATACAGATATCCGTGCCCCTCGTCGCTCCAGACGATGACTCTGTCAGCTGACAGGAAATCCCCGGCCATCCATCGTTCACCAGGTCGTGCTGTCACCGAACAGAGGACTGAGAAATCTCCAGCGTCAAATATCTGTATAAAATCTCCACTGAGTTAAAGCTCCCAAATGAAATTGCAATGGATTCCACAAAAATCATTAATATAGGTCAAACGAATTTTTTCGTTGATAATATTTGTAATTGCTAATTACCTGCCAGTATTTTGAGCAAACAATTAGAACTGTTCTCTGATTGTAAGGGCAACAGGTCATCGCTAGTGCATTGAGACACCGGATTTGTTTGCTCTCGTGTTCATAAAGTGGTTCGCTATTGCGATTTTCATGTCCCAATAACGTCCAGACTTTGACAGTCCCAGTGGTGGTGAGTGCAAGTACCACATCATCTTTAAATAATTTGAGTGAGTTGTCGCTTGATATTTAGACTGAATCCTCGATAATTACAAACAAAGCTACATTATTCTCATTTTTCTATGACCCAGAACATCTCTCAAAACTTAAAAACTCTCCCGCATGCCCGAAGTCTCCATTCTGTCAAGTAATTCCCTTTCGTAAAGACAAGCACATGCTCCGCATGATTATTCAATTAATTAATTAATGGAAAATTATTTATTCCGACCACATGCAGTCTCTTCCGTTTAAAAGAATTCATTTGAAAATTCAAGATGTTTATTCGTGTCAGTAGCTCCAATTTAAATAAATATTAATTGAATAATTAATAACACTATTGCATATTTAGTATATTGGGGTGGAGTGACGAATCGAGTTTTAATTGTTACACGTAGAAAATGAATGATTGTAAACTGAATTTATAGAAAAAATTATCTCCAATAATAAACCAGAGGTGAGAAGATGGTGTTACCGCGATATCACGTTCTCTCCCCCGAATGAATATTTATAAAATGAAAATTAATGAAAAAAAAATTCCGAACATTGCGCATGCTTGAAGTAATCACCAAAAAAAACATTCTCATTAATTCGATTATTAAATACTCTATACTGTGCATACTTACGAAGTGTATCGTATTGCTTATGTAATTATGAGATAAATGGCGTTGGGAGAATGGTTTAATGTGGAAATGGTTAATGATTAATGAGAGATAATGAGGAGGCAGTAGAGAGATATATACAGACTGGTTAATCGAACATAATCGATCATACAAAATACCAATTAAATCAAAATAAATATCTCCAGCGGGATAATGAAAGATAACATGAAAAAACGATGGAAACCTAAAGAATTTGAAATAAAGAGACTGAGTTATCAGCTCTCAGGGCCCCAGCCCTTTCTCTTTCAAACGTATGTACATGCTGGAACATTGTAATTATCATTAACTGACGAAAAGAGATTTATCCAAAAAATCCGAGGTGAAAAATTCGGTACAAGTCTTTTCCAAGTGTCAATTTTGTTTGTCCGTGTGAGAAAATATCTTTCCTGTTAGTAAAAAAAAAATCCCAATTAACATTGCCAATAGTAATGACTTTATCGTTCCGTTTTCCAGGTGGAACAATTAATTTTTAATTAATTTTCCGACTTGAGAGACAAAAAATTAATAAAGGATAAATAATAATGTAAGATTATTGATTGAGGATAGAAGCGTAGGTGTGATGAAGTGTAACTAACTTGTGTGCACGTAGAACCGACCTTTCCGTTGGGCCGGGCGTAGCACGTGGAGTGCGCTGATCCAATCTGGATTAACACGAGAGCTCAGGGTGAAGAGAACTTCCAGACTGAATGGATCCATCACCAATACTTCAGGATAATACCTGAGAAGTAAAAAAAACACTCAGTCAAATGAAATTATGTATAAAATTTCCTCTGCTGAAATTCTTACCCAGAACAGAACAACCTGACATCCTCTCCACCGGCTGATACGTAGGGAAGCATCTGCGTGTGAATATTATTCAATTTAACGGCCTCACGACATTTTCCATCCACCAAATCCCAGGTACACATCTCCCCGCTCTCGCTGCTGCTCACGATATAATTCTGCTCCATTATGACACTCGCACGACTCAGGCACATTATCGGTGCAGTGTGTCCAACTAGCAGACATCTTGGTGTCATCTTTAGGGTGTCCGGGTCGACCTGCCAGAGGCAGATCTGTCCGTCGTAGCATCCCGTGACGAGTGTCTTCTGATCCCTCGATAAATAAATACACGATATGCAGTGAGTCGGTGCTATCCTCCCCCAGAGGACTATAGGCACCACCAGACTCGGGCCCGCTGTCATTTTTAGTCAACCTGGAAGCAATTATTACTCAAATAATTCGTGATCTTTATTCCCATGTGAAACGAGAGTAATTAGCATTCTATTAGCTCTCAAGGCTCCGCGGGATTGCCACTATTGATACCAGAAAACATTTTTAAGAGGATCAATTTTATATGAGCGTCGATGGTTGGAGAATCCCAGTGGAGAATCTGGTCTTCTGGATTCTCCTTGAAGTTTTTACATTGAAGTTTCATGGAATTTTTTGTGACCCTGTCCCAAGATAATGGGATAACCGTGGAGGAAGTACTCTCATTACACGTGATATCATCTCGTATCAATTATCAGGGGTCTCAAGGACACAGTGAAACAACAATACCCGTTACTCTTTGTTTATCTTATTCAACACACAAATGTCAGACTCTTTTAAAAACTATTGTTTCCCATTTTTCTCGGGTTCAAGAAGACTTTCGGTTCGGATGAAACGATTTTTTTATATTTCATTGAGAGACAAGTCATAAATACGGATTCTGCAATTCAAGAAAAAGGAATAAATCTGGCTGTTATCAATGAAAAAAAAAAGAAACAAATTTTCGAAGCTCCAGATGTTTGTGATGATATGATGACGAAGATAATTACGGCAATCACGAGAAATTGACTGAGAAAATAACAACCGCCTGACGAGTCACACGTCACTGTCAAATCCCACACTTGTCGTCATCGCCTCGATCATTCGCTGTATTCGTTGAATTTTTAAAAAATAAATACCATTAATGGATGAAATAATAGCGAAATAACTCACCAGAAGGGATGATTGACGACGACTAGCGGGTACACCCGCAGAAGTGGCTAAAGTGTGTCGAAAAACACTGAAGAATCACCTACGAGAGCACTGTTGGTGCCATTTTGGAGTAGAGTGAACGATCAGCTGTTTCCAGTCACTATGCGCATGTATCATGCGCAAATCGGTGACACCAGAGAGGATTGACTAAAGTGGAGGCTCA